GTCAATACAGTTTTATTGTTTGGAGCTGAAACTTGGAGAACTACTAAAAACATCATCAAATCTGTACAACTATTTTTAAACAATTGTTTACGTAAGATATCCACTGTTCGTTGGTCGGATACCATCAACAACAATATACTGTGGAAGAGAACAAACCAGATTCTAATTGAATCAGAAATTAGGAAAATATGTTGGAAGTGGATAGGAAATACATTACGGAAATCATCAAACTGCATCACGAGAAAAGCGATTGATTACTTGAAGTCCAAAAAGGAAATGGTAAAGAGGAAGAACAAAGAACAAATTGTGACAAGAAACGGAAACAAATATGAAAATGATGAATAACAACTGAAAACTAATAGATAGGATTATCTAAGATAGAGTTCGATGAGGAATAGTGATGAACAGCCAATGTTCCTTCACAAAGGGATAACAGACGTAATTAATTATATCATATATGATATACATTAAATTATTCAGTGATTCATTCAATTCATAAAACTCAATCGAATGTCATTCAATATAATTGTACTTTGTTATATGATAACATTAACTACTTATATTTGATTAGATTAAAGTTACTTCTTTTATAAATAATCCAACTACCTAATTTATCGATTTCAGATTTACTTAATTTATCTCAATAGAAAACTTTAGTTAGGTTCTTTTCTATTGTAAAATATAACAAAAACAATAAATGAAATCATCTGTAAAATAAAACATGAATTGTAAAAATTAGTGTTTACTGAATTGTAAACTATTCTTATTATAAGTAGTATAGTTCTTTGCAATAAAACAAGAAAAAAACGACAGTACATCTTTTAACTATATCATAATATGATTATTCATTATCTTTTATCATTGGACAGAATTAGTGCAACTCTCTAAGTGTGTGGAGCATTTTCCTTTTGGTGACCGAAGTATAACTGCAACTTTCTTGTATCTAGTCTTTGTTGTCCAGTTTCGGTTCAATAGGTTTCGCTGATTCCCAGTACTACCTCCTTATTTCTGTTGCTATTTTACTGGTGTTCTCGGTCTTACACACACTGTTCGGACGTTCCATACACCTATAAACAGTTTTACTCTGGTTGTTAGAAAGGGCATCAGCCTCTTGACTTACTCAGGAACTCGGCTTTCACCATGAGGCGTCATAACTCTTCTAAAGGAAGAGCTTCTAACTCCTAGGACAGAATTTAAATGGTTTGAATTATTTTTTTCTGGTTAGCGTTGTTTTTTATAACGAGTTTGTTTTCTACGAGATGAGTATCTAACCCCATACCCAATCTTCCTCCTTTAACCGGGCTTGGGACCGGCAGTAACTCTAGCAGAGTTATAGGCAGAGTTTCTTTTATCATACTTAACATAATTTTTTTTTCAAAATTTATGGCAATGGTTTCAAGATTGTTTGTTCACTTTTTATCAATGATTTCTTTATAGTAAGTAATATCTTACGTCATATGATACAGAACTATTAAATAAATTGAAGTTTCAACTGAATTTATTGACAATACATATGACATTTTATTACAGAAATTGATTTTGCATAGAAATTCATTTGTAGTCATATTTAGTAATAGTTAACTAGCCATTTAATAGAAGCTAAATTTATGTTGTTTTTTTTTCGAGCTTCATCGATCTATCTGTAATATGGTCACTAGTCTAAGTAATTTTATATACTTCAATGATCAGTCAATCATAAATATCTCAATCCTGATAGAATGTGAGTCACTGGCCAAAGACTTTACTGATAACATCCTAGACTGTAAAGTTAGGTAACATTGAATTGAATCCGCTGAGGAGCATCCTCAAGATTACGGGCACAACTTTGTAATGAGTGTCAAATGGCTCGAAACCTACATTCAGAGTATCCTATCGACTACCTCCAACCAGCTATAGTGATACTCATTAACTGGCATTATTATTATGTTCGACTTCTGATTAGACAATAACATCTATCAGGAAACTATCAGTAATCAATAAAACAGTTTTGATGTACAGTATAAGTCTCACTGAAATAACACATAGTTAATTGTGAGCTATTAATTACTAATACCTTTTCAAAGGCGGACTCTTTATACAAAACTTAAAACAATGTTGCTGTATTTTCATGTGTTCAAGTCAATATTAAAAATTTGTTGACAATGAAGAAGTGGCTAACACGAAGTCACGAAACGTCAGAAATACAATTTTTCTACTCATTGGGATATAACAAAATATATTTATTATTATTCTTAAAAATGTGTTTGTTTAATAGAATCTAATTGCTTCATATATATATCCATTCGATTGTCCCCACATGTGTTCTCGTTCACTACACTATCATGGAGATATACGGACAATCGAATGGATATGGATACAAAATTATAGAACGTCTAAGTAAAATCTGAGAACTATACAGTAAAAACGTCATTTACAAAATGTCAACCAATCGTCTCAGACTTCATTGTTTTTTTCATTTCCAAAGCAATCATTCTGTGTTCTCGTTCCCTTTTCTTCAACCTTCTTAACCTTCTGCCACCAGGAATTTCACTTTCAATTGATGATACATACTACTTATATCAATCGACATCAGTAGTACACACCACCATGGCAATTATTCTTTATGTTACATAAATGTATGTTAGCATTACATACTCCCTTACAATTGACCTCACCATAAATTGAATTAGACTTGAACATAGTTAATCTAGTTGGAGATTTTTTAAAAGAGATTTTTTCTGTGGGATGGTATTACCGACCTCATGCCTAACCCTCCTCCTTTAACCAGATTTGGAACCGGTATTAACTCTAGAAGAGCTACAGGCGAAGTTTAGACTAGAGCCTATTACCTTAAATGTAATTTATCTAAAAAATATTATCTGATGTAGAATAATTCTTATTCATAAAGAAAAAAACTGATTCAATGAACTGTATCATTACTAACAAGTAACGTATTACATCATTGATAAAATGATTATCTCACTGGTTAAGATCATTAGTCAGTTGAAGTTAGGCCACCATCGAAAACCTGGAAGCACTGGACGGCCATTTCGTCCTATTGTTAAACTTAAACCATTCACTGATAAGATAACATATTTTCATGATGCTTTGTATAAGAGTTTTATTTTACATAGTAACTGAGGCAATTATTAAAAATTCATGATTGGGTAAAAGGAAATCGATTCTTAGAGTTTTATCAAGTCACTCTTTTTTTTTTCTTTAATATCAACAGATCTATGTTTTATTAATGAAGAGTAGGGAAACCTATTTATAATAAATTTTTGTTTTACAGTTTACAATCAATAAGATACTCGTTTTTAAGTCTTTAGACATTGGAAATGTACTGACATCCACTTATAATCCCTTTACTCAGTCATTTGAGATTATGTGGCAACTATGAAATATTGTTGAAGAGTCTCATACTAGGATGAAACAATCATCTAATGCTTCTAGTTTTTCAACACTTATTAAACGTAGGTTGGTTTATGGTTCCAATGAAAGTTTTTTTGAAAATGTATATTCCTGTAGGTGGATCCAGTTGCGTACATTTCTGACATTTTTAAATAGCATGTTGCGTATTTAATATTATAAATGAGATTTTATCGTACTCGTGACTTGTTTGTACCTTTACTTTAAGGGTTAACCAAAAACGGAATATAAAGCAGTTTTCTGATTGTATCAATCGTTAGGTGTGTGTCATGGTTGAACATTAACCAAGAGTGGAGAGGCAGAAGGAAACAATTACTTATTGATTCCTTGTGTTATGTAGTTCTTCTGCATAAAATGTAACATTATTTCACAGAAAACAGTTTGAAAAATATGTAGCTTAGTTAGGTCTCACTGTGTGCTCCTGAGGCATCCGATACTATGGTAGAACGTCTCTCTAGTGCTTCCTCATTTTTAATGAATTCAACAGTCTACGTAAACCTCGTCTACTAATATCTTCGAAACTATTCAGTTTAATGCTTTAGAGTATATGAAGGTTGAACGTGCTCTAAAAACAGGTAAATAATTGACATTTAACGTTGATAGGTTACACTACACGGTACTTTAAACATCATTTCATCCGATGGCTAGTCCAATCATTTGGTTGTTTTAAAAAGTGGGATTATTTAAAAGAGCCATTAGACAATTTAGTAAGCTAGGCAAATTTATTATTCCTATCTTCTACTTTTAGTGAATCTTTTGATTATTGTTGAATATTGTCAATATTTTATATCGGGTATTTATTCGATGATCCATTCATCTGCAACATATTGTAACATCACTTCATCACTTACGTTTATTTGTACTCCACAAGAATTCTTTAAATTGATCTTCAGAAGCCAAAAGGTGGCTGAAAGCATTTTGATCAATCAGTATACGCAATGTAAACAGATTATATTGTCATGCACCGATTGGATCATTACCTACTCTGTTACTTAGCTTAACATGTTTTCAGTTTCCAAAGTTTAATGATTATCAATAAACCTATAGTTAATGTTGTTGTTTTAAACATATTAAGATAAAGATTTCATTCTTAATGTGCACGTTTTCTTTACTATTCAAGTTCAAATGTAGGTGTAATCTAGAGATATTATAACAGATAGTTAATCAGTAACATACGTCCGAGTAGAAGACATTCCGTTTGAATAAATATTCATTCAGTTATCAGTTACTTGTTAAAAATTTTATTTTTAAGACTAAATGTGTATAAGCAAAGATGAATAGTGGTTAGCAGTGGAATGCATGGACGCGCGTGTTTCTTCATATTTGGAACTCGTCAGCTGGATGTACCTGGCATCTCAGAATTGGCATTCACTCCGGGACTCTAACTGAGCACCGTTTGCATCAAACGCCATCGCATTCTCCACTTAGCCACTGAATCCTGATAGCCACTTCCTTGTGCAGTGGGGTGAATGACCTATTATATATGAGAAACAATAGATACATAATGATTTATTTAGTTACTTTCTGTAATTTATCAGTATAATTAATTCCCTTTTCTTTATATATATATTGTTCGTATTTTTCTTGTATAGAAATCTGGAGCGAAAAGGAAATGCTCTGTTTGTCATATTGTTTGTCATGTAAATTGTCTTCCATTGGTAAGCGAATTCATTTTAAACAGTCAGATAAACTTATTTATAAATCGATTTCACCTATGAGTGGTATCCATTCTGTGGTTCGTTTAATCCGTGATATTGATAGAATTCTATTGAATACGTTGTGATGTATTCATAAGTGTAAGAGATCTAATATCTCATGAATTGTTTTTGATGTTATTTGTTGATAGGGATACAAAGAGAATTTCTAAACTTATATTATATAAAGAGGAACAATATATTTGTGAAATGTCAATGAATAAATCTGAAGTAAATCCAACGTACCGCCTGACAATCTGGTTCAAGCTTTTTCAAGGAAATATAGTTAAACATTAAAATTATCGAATAGAAATAGGTACATGGTTCTCCGGTTCATTGTATACTGAATAGGTTATTCAATCTTTGAAGTAGGTATTTGTATTATTGTGTAAGAGACATGTGATACAATATGTCATGGCATGCATAAAACGAAGATGAGTAAACAAGATAAAGGAATGAATTCAAAGAGGAAGAATGTATTTGTCATTGAAAGTTTGTGTTATTTAAATGTTCCAGTTAATTGGCTAACATATTCAGATAAGATAACTGATTTGAACCGTTGAATGTAATATCTATTATTCAGGTAATACAAGATAGATAAAATGGAATAAGGAGTTCAGGTTTAGCTATTAATTATTAGTTGCCATGGAACAGCTAATTGTATTCCATCACTTCTATTAATACTATTTGGATTAGCTCATATATGTAGAGCTTTGGCTGTTAGTCTCTCTCTTTGTAAGAATTAAAGCCTTTTTGAAGGATTCTTGTGCCAGTCAAATCAATTGTGTGACCCAATTCTATCGAGTGTAATGCTACCGCTGGTTCATTCTCTAGTTTTCTTACATCAACTGAAGATTTAGGAATGTGCTATGAGCATAGTTTGTGTTCCTTCACCGTCACATTCAGTTGTCTTGATGTTTCACCTACATACGTTGCATTAGAGTCACTGCATTTGATTTCATGAACACAGTTCTGTTGTTCCTCATTGTGTATTAAATCTTTGATTGTTACTACTTTTGATTTTATAGTAGTGAAAAAGCTTGAAGCGGATTGTTAGACAAAATGTTGGATTTACTTCAAATTCATTCAGTGAAATTTTACAAATATATTTTTCCTCTTTAATAGACAAAAATACTTATTTGAAGGGATATGTTTAAAAGGTATTCGAGAAAAAAACGAGTTACATCAGTAGGAATATACAGAATATTCACTTTATGTACAATCCAAGATGGTCGCTCAATTTCGTGGAATGGTTGATGTTCAGCACTAACACAAATGGATTAGATTTAAAGTTTACTAATGATTACTTCTAACTAGAGTTATTTAGATTATGATAACTCTATCGAATTGATCAATAAAACTATATCAACACAAGAAATTGATTAAACATCATTATTTATTAACTCAACAGTTATTGAACAGTGTAGGGATAAAAAGAGATATACGATGGTAACAGTAGCTATTTGGATTAAGAAATTATAGCTTAACCAAACTTAAGGCTAATTAATCAATAGTAATCTTAGCTTTCGAATGACGCAATTTAACTAATGTATTTATAATCTTTCCTAGTTAAATGTAATGGTCAGAATGGGGGTTTGTGGAGAGTGTAATAATTTTAACAGGTGTATTAATTAGTCAATCTAAGCTAAATCATTACTGAAATCCTCTAAGCATTGGATGACTGTTTCGTCCTATTGCGGGACTCCTCAGAGGTGCGCATACATGATTCCACACATGTCATTCAAAAACACGACCTTCAGTTTTTTCGAAAACCTCTTAATCTCTAGACGAGTAAGTAGACATCCAACCGTGGTAATGTTTAGCTTTAGTCTATCCATGATCTCTCACAACCCTTCATCTATTATCTAAGGTGGATAGCTCTCTCCACCCGACACGGGTTGGACTTTCTGAATCGATTGAAATAAGACACTAACATCATTGGATGCTGGTCGGCTCACTAGTCTAGAGGTTAAGCGTTTGATCTGGAGACTGGGTTCGATTCTCGTGAGGCGGGGTCATGGATGCGCACTGCTGAGGAGTTCCACAATAGGAAGAAACAGCCGTCCAGTGCCCCCAGTTTTTCAATGGTGGTCTAGCTTCAATTGACTGATGATCTCAACTATTAAAAAAACCTTTTTTATTTATAGTTTTGTAATTATTATATTTTCAAAATCTAAGAAGCATGATTATATTTTCCATTTATTCTAATATTGCTAGAAGTTATGGGCGGCCAAACCAAAACGTGGCATCAGTGCTTGAAGTCATTAACTTCTAGTCTGAGCCATGTTGGTAGATTCAAACTACTTGGTTGGGGTTCGCGTGACTATCGTAACCAATGGTTGGAGACTGTGGGTGACATGGCTCAGAATCGATCACAATGGTGTCAGTGTATACACTCTCTGTCTTCCTTTAAACTATGAGACTAAAATCGCTTTATATCTTTCTTTCTACCAACTAACTCTTTCTTCCTAAATTATCTCCTTATATACCATCTTTCTCTTATATATTATCACGATTGACTTAACTACTTCTAGGAATCCGGTGTTCATCTTGTTGTACTAATAAGTAAGATGTGGTAACTTGGACCGATACATATATATGCTTGGTCCTAATGTTATAGTTGACTGACTGATTAAATATTACTCGCATTTTTCATAATGACCATTAATAGAAAAAAACCAAATGAAATAAACAATTCACTTTATTGTCTATGAAAAAAAAAATTAATTAAAACCTAATTACATTATGTAATAAATTTGTGAATTATTTAAAAAAAATTTTTACATCATTAACATACATTTAAATGATGTAGATGCAATTCAAATGGTTAAAACTTTAATTGTTCATTCAAAAGAAAAAAAATAATGCTGTGAAATTTTGAAAAAAAAATATGCCCCTTGGTAATTACACATTGTCATAGTTACTATTATAAAATAAACTGATTTAGATAATCAATGAAATATGGGAAATACTAGTCTATTGTATGACTCCTTTAAAGTATACTACAATGAATCTACAGGGAATCTTATTTAGTTGTTAGTTATTTGAACATATAAATATCTATACGAAGGGGCATTGAATATATATGCGCCACATAAATCATTTGATTTGTGTCTGGTCTATGATACTGCCCGGGTACCCAAACTGAAACAGGTGGTTTTCCTATAGGGCCACACCCGGAGCCTTCGACCTAAAGGTCTGATCTACAAGGTAGTGGGAGCATCGTAAGGAGATGCAGTCCCATGGTAGCCAGTGAATAATGATTGGTTCAAACGACTTTTTTTTCTTTTAGGATCCTGGAGCCCATATGAACCATTAGTTTGGAATCATGGTTTTACAACTAACTTAAGTGGATCTTCCATATCCATCAACCCGGTTAAAGCGCTCGCCATTCGCTGTTCATCCTCTCAATTTTGTAAACAACACCCACTTTGTAAGAAGCCAATGAGTAGGACTTCCTTGGTAGTGGCCGTATACGCGTGGTGATGTGAGAGCATTTCGAGAGAGTGAGCTGACTCTCCCTACTCTCGGCATTACCAGGGCTTATCGGGAACCTGGCCAAAAGCCTTTAGTTCTCTCGGTGAGAAGTTAAGTTTCAAACTACTGGGTTTACATTCAGTTATGCACCTGCCTAATCTCAATCGATTTGTGATAGTTGGCAAACACTATTGATTGCTATGGCGGAAATCTAGCTCACATCCTACTGACATATATTTATATACACTTTATTAGTCAATGACCAATGTTATATTTGTTTAGTTCTCAAAGATTATAAGTACACTTCGTTGACAATTGCTAAATAGCATGAAATGTAGATGTACAATTTCTTACTGATTATCACTAGTTATCTAATATTTCATAATATTCCTACAACGTTTATCGTTAAATATAAAAATTACTTACGCCTGTTACTCCCAATGGAGTATAGGCCGCCAACCAGCATTCTCCAACACACTCTGTCCTAGGCCTTCCTTTCTAGTTCTATACAAATATTGTTCATTCTTCCAATATCTGTCTCCATTTCTCAGTGTAATGTATTCTTTGGTCTTCCTCTTCTCCTTTGTCTTTGGGGATTCCAAGTCAGAGCTTTCATTGTGATGCAGTTGGGTGCTTTCCTCAATGTGTGTCCTATCCACTTACAGCGTTTCTCCCTGATTTCTTGCTCCGCTAATATCTCGTTTGTTCTCTTCCACACAAGGTTGTTGTTGATATTGTCTGGCCAACGGATCCGAAGTATTTTGCGTAGACAACTGTTAATAAACACCTGTATTCTGTGGAGGATGGCTTTCGTAGTTCACCAGGTTTCCGCTCCATACAGTAGAACTGTCTTGACATTTGTATTGAAAATTATGACTTTGCTGTTGGTTGACAGACTGCTGTTTTGAGTTCCAGATGTTATTCACTTGTCGATATGCTGCTCTTGCTTTACTGATCCACGCCTTCACATCTGCATCAGATCCATCGTATTCATCAATGATACTGTCCTGATATGTTAATTTTTCTACATCTTCCAAATCTTCTCCCTCAAGTTTGATTTGATTGACGCATGTTGTGTTGTATCGGAGAATCTTGCCTTTCCCCTTTATGTATTTTTGAGATCTACTGCTGTCGAGGCTGTTACTACACTGGTCGTCTTCTGTTTCATTTGTTGTTACTTGTGTGATTGAACGGCCAGATCATCTAGGAAATCTAGCGATCGTCCAGCTGCATCTTAGCAGTCCACTTCATCCCATGCTTCCCCTCAGATGTTGACGTCTTCATAATCCAGTCGGTCAGCAGGAAAAAGAGAATGTATATATATATAAATGTCTGTTTTTTAAACACTTTTTGTATGAATACATTTTGTTTTAATGTTTCCGTGACACTTGATTAAATTTTGAAATATTAAAATAACTCGATAATATCATATCACTATTCATTATATCTATGAATTCAGTTGTTAATGGTTTAATTTATTTAATCTGGTTGGTGGTTTTTTTTATCAAGATTAGTTTCTACAGGATGAAGTTGTCAACGTGATATGCTCGACCTTCTTCATTTACCCAAACTTGGGACCCGGTAGTAACTCTAGATGACCTACATACAATTTACATACAACTCTTTATTATATAATATGCTCATTAATATATTAGTTATAATATAAGTGAACCTAAAAAGAATTGTACATTTCAACATGGTCAAAAAGATCCTTTTTTTTCCAGTCACGTTAACTTGACCTAAGTCAGGCTTGTCATCTAATATTTTATACTTCTTTATTCTTTATATAACTTCATTCTTTACTTGTATTTGCTTTATAGGTTCAGGTATCATGTAGACCAACGTTTCGTGAAGCATTTATTCATGATTATCGTACAGAGAAAACTGTAAGTAATTATATCTTTTTTTCTCTATATATTTCTCATCTCAAACATAGAGATTAGTTCACTATGGAAATCAGTCTTAATAGTATATCTAATGATGAGGATAGAGAATAAATAAATGTGATCATAATTTTTAACAAACAATCTATGATCAAAAGGAATTTTGTGTAGATTTTAGAAGTTTCAATAGTTGAAATCATTTGTCAGTTGAAGCTAGACCACCATGGAAAACATGGAAGCAATGGACGGCCGTTTTTTCCCAGTATGGAACTCCTTAGCAGCGCGCATTCACAACTCCACTCACCGGCAGATTCGAACCCATGATCTATCAGTCTTGCTTAACTATTAGACCACTGAGCCGGCACTTAACGGTATTAATGTCTAACTTCAACCATCCACCATTGTCTTCAGTGATTTCAACCATTGAAATTTTAAAATTTCCACAAAACCCCTCTCTGACTATAATCATCTGCTCACTAGTGACTGAATTCAAAAGGGATTTCCTGGAGTTCTAGTGAGATTCATTGAGCAGTTGAGTTCGACCGGGTCTGTTGTGAGATAGTGACTCACCTAAGACAATGGTGTACGGTAGTGCAATTTCGTGGATTGGTTGAAGTTAAACAATAACACCGATGGATGCCAGCCAGCTCAGTGGTCTGATGGTTAAGCGCTCGCTCACGAGACTGGTAGGTCATGGTTTCGAATCGGGCGGTGTGGGATCGTGGATGCGTACTGCTGAGGAGTCCCATACAAAGACGAACCGGCCATCCATTGCTTCCAGGTTTTCTATGGTGGTCTAGCTTTAATTGACTCATTATTTCAACTATTGATATAATCTATGAACTATTCGAAATGATTATATAAAAAGATTTTTTTTAAAGTTGATGAAAGGTTACATTTGACATGAGCTAAATAATCAAAGTAGAGAGAAACAAAGAGAAAACAAGTATAAATGTTTCCTGCATACATTGATGTATTTTAAAGCTTTCTAATACGGTTAAGAGATGTCATGTGGAAATCTTAAACTACTTACATGGAGTTTACTATGTTTTATCAGTCAACCGATTTTTTTACCGGTTTATTATTTTTAATAATGGGTTAGTATATTCACTAGCACCATATTGGTATTGATTTCATATTCATAGGTAAAACTATATATTACTGCCAGGTTTTATTCAAGAGTCAATGGAAATGAAATTTTTTTTCGTTCATGCCATATTTTCTTAAAAAATTTTTAATGGTTATCTGTCGGAATCAGCTTGGTAATTGTTGAAAAGCAGAGAACATAGAATAAGTATCTAGTTTTTGGGCTACTAGGCAATTCTCAACCTATACTACTACTACTACTACTACTGCACAGAATGAGCAAAGAACGTTTAGGCTCAATTCAGACAACATTAGGTTTAAATCATAACAGAAAAACCAATCTGTATCATCAATGATACGTTTCTCATTTTCTGAATTGATCTTAATTCTTGAGAAAAACAATTTTAAACTAATGAACCTCAAAATGCAATTAAATATATAATTTCAATATTCCATTGATATATATATAGAAATAGCAAAACGTCCATCGTTTAAATCATGAACTGATCTTAACTAGTCAACAACTGAAAAAAAGACCGGACGCAGTATACTTCAGTTTTGTCCTAGTAGGATAGTCCTTGGAAGTGTGCATCTACGAATATATCTCAGGGGATCAAATCCAGAAATTTCAGTCTCACGCAAACGCTTGACTTGTACAGCTATGAGTCGGGATAGAGCCTTGTACATGTTTTATTTCAGTTAATTCACAATATTGGCCAATCCTTGTCCATTGCCTCAGTTGAATAATTGTCTTATATCAATCATTTTTGAACCCAATTGATCATGATTTGTTAATAATGATTCAACTGAGATCATTTCTTTATTTAATCTAAGCGAATTCTACAATCTTCACAAATTCCTACATATCAATCTCTATTTCAAATTAATTTATAAATAACTGGATAATTATGAAACATGGGTATTGACAATCAGATTGTATGCGTTTATACTTGGATTTCATTTTAGGACTTTAACAGGCAAATAAATAATAATATGGGCTTTTGTTTAGATGCTGTAATTTAAAACAGCAAAAAATTATTCGCAGTTATATAATCTACCCTTGTGGGCCAGAGTAATTTTACATTGTTTTTCATGAGAACCAAATGCCATCCGAAAAATTTACTGTTCTTTTTTGTATTTTCTATTGATAATGGCCCAATTTATTGAGTTCTCTCATACGTTCAGTATATTAAGTGAAAAATAAGTGCAAAGTTATATTATTAACTCTATGCTTGATATAAAAATAACCCTTTTCGGTATAGTAGGACATCAAGAAATCTTTTCAAGACTATCATTAATTATAAATTATAACAATCAATAGTTAACTCGATAATTGCAGTTACATTTACCCATTGAATTCACGAATCGACCTAAGCTAGAACGGTCGTTCTGTAATACGATGGTACTTCTCAAAATTGTTCATCTACAGTCACTCACACGGGCCTCGAACCCACGACCTTCGGCTTCGTGCATTCAACGATGTTAGTGTCTAATTTCAACAGATTCAAAGGATCCAATCCTTGTCGGGTGAAGACAGTTGTCCACCTCAGACAATGGATGAACCGTTGTGTGAGTTCATGGATTGATTGAAGTTACACATTAACACAGTTGGATAACAGGTTACTGGTTTAGAGATTAATCATTCACCGACGATACCGAAGGTCATGTTTTTGAAATGTTGTGTGCGTGATTGTGTATTCTCACTGATGAATAGTCCCATACTATTACGAAACTTCTGTCCAATACTTCAAGGTTTTCAATGATGATTTAGCTTAAATCGACTCGTGAATTTAACTGTTAATATACCACAATTTCGACAAATCGACATTATGATAATTTCACATAAATTAAGATATACGTTGATTGCTAATAATAAATTGTATTGATATATTTGTAATATTTCAATTATCAGAAATTACAACTTAAAGTATCCGTATTTTATTATTATCATGAATTATATTAGATATATAAGTTATATTGATACAATATTAAGTTTATAAAGTTAATCAAGTGATATTTTAGACAATCTACATCTTAGTTAATAATCAAGATCACTATGTACATTATTCTTTGTATCGCTTCTTTGAACTTCATGTCTACCATTGGACTGAGATTAGTGATTTATCTAACTTAACTGAATGGATTATACTTAGTGATAAATCAACTATTACTTAGACAGTAACAAATTTAAAATCTTATTCATGAATCATCGAAATTATTTTTCAGTTTAGGGGTTGTGGAGATTGTTATGTTTTTGATTGAAATCATAATTCGATTGAAGCTAGACCACCATATAAAACCTGGAAGTACTAAATGGCCGTGACCAGTGGAGCTAATCCGTGTCGGGTAGAAACAGGTGTCTACCTCAGTACAATGGAAAGTGGTCGCGCAATTCCGCGGATTGGTTGAGATTAGACATTAACACCGTTGGGTGCCGGCTCAATGATTTAGTTGGTTAAGCGCCTGGCGTGAGACTGATAGGTCTTGTGTTCGAACCTCGCCGGGTGCAGGACTGTGGATGCGCACTGCTGAGGAGTTCCACAATAGGACGAGACGGCTGTCCAATCGCCCTAGTTTTTCCATGGTTGTCTAACTTCAATTGACTCATGATTTCAATCAAAATTATTTTTACCTATTTAAATGTTACCCATTTCCATAGTATTTACAATAACATCAATCATTCTCATATCAGTTCTTTTTTTAACTTGACGTGTATTCTTCACAGGATACACTGACACTGTGAAGAACTACATAGAAAAAACTTCTACGCATCATAGAAACTAGGTCCAGGGTTTCCAAGTTGACTACTTTCAACCACTATCTTATCTCAATATAGTGCACTCAATGTCGAATCACCTAGACTAGTGGCCACATTGCAACTTGGTCGATAATATTCGATCTGCACTAAATAAGGACTTGACACACATGACATTGATCACCACCCAGTGATCATTCAAATATAAAACTAGTTTCTGTTTCCATTATGTATTCATATAAATACATAAATATTTGCTTAAGCATTTATATCTTTTCGATATCAGCTTTAAATTTCCCACTCACAGCTATGAATGAATTTAAAGTTATTAATTTCTTTGATAAATTTCGATAGAAGAATGAGAAGATGAAGTTAATCTGAAGAAAGATTTTGAACAATCTGATCACATATATACTTTGTCAATAAATTACTGAATTGTACACTAGTGAATTATCGCTAATTAATATGGAGAGTCAATCAGAAGGTCAATTGTTCAATAGTGACCTAAATGACAAGTACATTTTATAAACTAACAAATCGATCAATTTTCTTAGGATTAGAGTGGTACATATTATGAATTTGTTTATTTTATTCGTTAGCCCGATATATTTTCTCGCTCGCTCTTGTTTTCTCACTCAATTAGTCAATTGAGTGGGGATGGTGGTTAGCGTATAGCACATCATGGTATCAAAATCAAATTTTTGACACTACCCATCACAACGCTATGCATAATGTAAACATCCGTTCTTACAAGAGATGAAATGAAAACAAACTATTTCAAGTGTTTACTAAACAATAAAACAAACAAACAAACAATCAATATATTATCAATTACCTTTTTCATGAAAAAAACTTTCATTCATAAACAACACAATGACTTATCAGCTATAATAGTACATTTGTCAAATACATTCTAATGGTTAAGTGCTCGCGCACGAAGCCAGTAGGTCCTGGGTTCGAGCCCCGCGTGGTGCGGGATCGTGGATGCGCACTGCTGAGGAGTCCCATATAGGACGAAACGGCCGTCCAGTGCTTCCAGGTTTTCAATGGCTTCAACTGACTCATGATTTCAATCTGTGAAAATTTCTAAAAAATCTCCACAAACCCTTTCTGATAAAATACATTCTAGTTATAAAGTTTATTGACTTGACAAATTATATTGGCATTAATCGTTTAAACAAATTATGTTTATCAAGTTTATTATTCCTATTTTATTTACATCATCATTACAATTGTATAGTGAACATTGTGATTGAATTTATAGTATATTTCAATGATAAAAGTTGAATGTTATTCTTATAAAAATTAGTTGTTAACATATTCTTATTCAGACAGTAACACTTAATCTCTTTATCTACTATTGTTATTGTTGTTGTAAATGTGATTAATTCGAACTGAAAATTAATCATAAATGTACTATTTTCTATTTGAATCAGAGAGCTCTTTTGTGGAGATTATAGTAATTTTAATAGTTGAGATTATGAGTTAATTGAAGATAGACAACTATGGAAAACCTGGAAGCTCTGAATAGCCATTTCGTTCTATTATGGGACTCTTCAGTAGTGCGCATCCACGATCTCACCTTCCCGTGAGATTCGAACCCATGACCTATCGGTCTCTCGCGCAAGGAAGATATCAAAATATATTGCATACTTAAGTATTATATCTTAATAACTATCACCTGAGTAATATTTATCTCCATAAAAATGGGTTTTAGGTTACTTACAGATCAAAATAGACACAGATTTATGAGATAATAGAGTCAGAGTAAATATTATTAATGATTGATATCTTGTTGCTTCATAGAATAATAATAACAACTTTTCAATTACTATTAGTTTATTTAGTAGTTGCTAGCTTTGAAATGTAATCTTGATGTTTCATTGACTTACTGTAGTTCATAGAGATCATCATTATTCGAAATAAAATACTTATCAGCCATTCTATTGAATAATCTTTGATCTATCTTGGAAAATGTCTAAAATTAAAAATTTGGATCACCAACATTAAACTCGATGATCTAAAGATAATATGAATACTATGAAGCCAGTAGGTTTTAAGTTCAATTCCGTGTGTAATTTTGGATTCTAACATACCTCTACTTGAACCCTATATACTGATTGCTTACCCACTGTCTATACTCCCACGCCATTCCTATATATGAACCGAATATTAAAGAAAACTTGATGAATAGGAATGGAAACCTTACTTGAAGCATAATTTATGCACAAAAAATAAACTTATTTGTAGGTTAACAAATGGTCTTAATCATGTAGAAGCTTCTGGAAATATGTTAATCTTAGCAACAAATAAGTAATTATCCAGTTATGATTTGACGTATAATCATTCATTACTCTGGATATTTCTGAGAAATGTTTTTCAGTGTTAATAGAATAAAAAATTCCTAACATTTTCTGCATTTCTGGAGACGTTAATGAGATACTTTTGGAGGGTTCCAACAAATACATACTATGACGGTTATAATCGGAGAGGGGTTTTGTAATTTAATAATTGCATTCATGAGTAAGTTAAAGCCAGACCACCATAGAAAAGCTGGAAGCACTAGACGGCCATTTCATCTTAGTATGGGACTCCTCTAGCTTCAATTGTTTCATGAATTCAATTAATAATGTACCACAATCTCTACAAAATCCATCTCTGATTATAATCGTCATATGCTCACCAGTGACTGTCTCCAAGAATTGTTTTATGGAGTTTAGTGAAAAGCCGTGACCAATAGGATTCAACCGGGTCTATCGTGAGATAGTAACTCACTTAAGACAATGATGGATGTCTTGCTCGATTTCGTGGATTAGTTGAAGTTAGACATTAACACCATTAGATGCCGGCTCAGTGGTCTAGTTGGTTAAGCGCCTGGCGCGAGACTGATAGGTCCTGGGTCCGAATCTCGCGGGGTGCGGGATCGTGGATGCGCACTACTAAGGAGTCACACAATAGGACGAAACAGCCGTCCAATTCTTCCAGGTTTTCCATGGCGGTCTAACTTTAATTGACTCATAAATTCAATTATTAATATACATGTTACCTTTATATCCCCCCTAAAATGAGGCATTACACTATATTCCACAATTCTTATATTCAATCATAATTAAACTAATTATCTTTCAACTTTAAATCATTTGTTTAAGTAAGTATTTCATTGATTTATCAAAGTAAATATTAAACTTTAAATAGATTTTAACATAATTACAGTTCATTTAAATAAATAATAACTAAATGGGTTTGAAGTTAACAATGTCTAATGTTATTGTTGTTGTCTAATTCTTCATTTACGGTGATAATTTGCTTTGTAATTATTCATTTAACCTTTAAGGACACCAATCTTTGACCAATTTAATGTTAATTTGTTTATTGGTCTTTTTTTAAGTATAAACCCAATGTTACCTTAATAAGGCGTAAATAATATCTATCTATCTATCTATCTATCTATCTATCTATCTATCTATCTATCTATCTATCTATCTATCTATCTATCTATCTATCTATCTATCTATCTATCTATCTATCTATCTATCTATCTATCTATCTATCTATCTATCTATCTATCTATCTATCTATCTATCTATCTATCTATCTATCTATCTATCTATCTATCTATCTATCTATCTATCTATCTATCTATCTATCTATCTATCTATCTATCTATCTATCTATCTATCTATCTATCTATCTATCTATCTATCTATCTATCTATCTATCTATCTATCTATCTATCTATCTATCTATCTATCTATCTATCTATCTATCTATCTATCTATCTATCTATCTATCTATCTATCTATCTATCTATCTATCTATCTATCTATCTATCTATCTATCTATCTATCTATCTATCTATCTATCTATCTATCTATCTATCTATCTATCTATCTATCTATCTATCTATCTATCTATCTATCTATCTATCTATCTATCTATCTATCTATCTATCTATCTATCTATCTATCTATCTATCTATCTATCTATCTATCTATCTATCTATCTATCTATCTATCTATCTATCTATCTATCTATCTATCTATCTATCTATCTATCTATCTATCTATCTATCTATCTATCTATCTATCTATCTATCTATCTATCTATCTATCTATCTATCTATCTATCTATCTATCTATCTATCTATCTATCTATCTATCTATCTATCTATCTATCTATCTATCTATCTATCTATCTATCTATCTATCTATCTATCTATCTATCTATCTATCTATCTATCTATCTATCTATCTATCTATCTATCTATCTATCTATCTATCTATCTATCTATCTATCTATCTATCTATCTATCTATCTATCTATCTATCTATCTATCTATCTATCTATCTATCTATCTATCTATCTATCTATCTATCTATCTATCTATCTATCTATCTATCTATCTATCTATCTATCTATCTATCTATCTATCTATCTATCTATCTATCTATCTATCTATCTATCTATCTATCTCTCTATATATCTATTTATCTATCTATCTATCTATGTATCTATCTATCTATCTATCCATCGATCTGTCTATCTGTCAATATATATATCTATATATATATATATATATATACCGTTTAAATTAATTACCGTCAAATTTTCTTTTTATGTTTGATTATCCTCGTGAAGTATACGACACATCATTGGGTTAAACGACGAAAACAAAACAAAAAATGTAACCATTGTGGAAAGGTATGATTTTTGTTGTGTTTTTTTGGGTTCAATTTCTTCTATTTATTATTGTTATTAATTTATCATTGTTTATTTTATTCATTACTTCTTATTTAAAAAATTTTCAAAGCCGAAATGATTCAGAATATCATTGTGAATACAAATAGTCTCTTGATTTGAAGATAGAAATTTAACCATTTTACTAAATTGCTGTCTAACGGGATCTTTCTCATTGCTATAAACGAGAACACAAGCGGGAACAACCAATGTATATCAATGCAAAATCATAGAGTTCTTTGGTAAAACATGAAAACCATACATTCAATGCTTTATTTGAAAATCTTTAATCAATTGTCTGAATGATCATTGTTTATTTATTTCCATAACATTTACTATCTGTTCCTGTACACATTGATCCAATCTTTTCAAGCTTCTGTTGCTAACTATTCCATATCTGATTGGTGTTGTATACTACTTATATCTGTGAACATTAGTAGTACACACCACAATATGATTATAGATCTTCAAATTTATATTTATTCTGTGCTCTTTCGAAATATGTAATTTGATAAGACAGACTTTAGAACATGGTTAGAAAGTATATTTGGGGGTGGAGCTATGTATTTATCAAACCATCGCTTACCTCGATGGGTGATGTTTGTCAATTTAGGTTGAAATAAAACTTGAGACGTTCAAATTAGCACATATCATCAGTCTAGGAAGTCAGTGACTGTTGGCTTTGACTATGTTGATAGATGTTGACTATCTGTTTGGGTAGTTGGAAACTTCATTTAACAAATTTTTAAGATTTTTCACAATGGTTCGCATGCTGTCACTCTTTCTTAAGACCTTGAGTCCCAATAGTACTTCCTAGAAGCCTTATTCATTCTATCGGTTATGAACCACAGTCTTACTGTTTAATCTTTCTCATTATTATTGTTACTACATCATTTTGTTTCCTTTTTTGCCCATTTTATTAGTTTCTAATCATTGTGATAATGTGGTTTAATCATTTAGACGGATAGCAGCAATTCTGCAATTTGGAAGACTCTTCCGGTCTTCCACATTGTACGAACATTCTATGTCCCTAAATAAATGGTTGCTTTGGTTGTCAGAAAGATAGAGAATTACATAAATGCACAGTTTATCATTAGTCATTCAATTTTTATCTATATACATCATTTCAATAAAATACACTATACTGAACTGTTTTACATTATAAAACGTCATTGCTTCAAGTATTTATTGCTTGATTACGTAATAGATAAATCGTGAAATAAATTGAAAAAAGAATAAAAGCACTTGATTTTTCTTTTTTTTTTTAAGATAGAAATTAAATTGTCTTATTTCTTTATAAAAAAACATACCTATCTAGTTTGATGTATGTATACATTTCTATATTGGTGAAGAATGCGTTGAATGCGTTTGTTTTTCGGTTTTTAACAGCTTTTTATCCCTTTTTTTGGCTTGTTTGTTTGTTTTGTTTTCAATACTGGCGTTGTTGGTGTTGTTGTTGTTGGTTGTTGGTTGTTGGCTGTTGTTATTATTAATTATGGTACCATTGTCATTTGAATTGTGTATGTATGTATGTATGTATGTATGTGTGTGTGTGTGTTTCCCAAAACCATATCCAAAATGTTAAGATAGACAAAAGGGGATATAAACAAAACTCATTTCACAATCTTGTTACAGAGAGTTACTTTTTTAATTTAAGAATAGTAATAATAATAATAATGAATAGATTGTTTTCTATTATTGACTTTGATACCATTCTACTTTATATTGATTTCCTTTTTAGTCTTTACAATCAATACTGGGATTTTCATCTAAAGTGAGTAATATTATCTTTGATGTTGTTTATCATCTGAAAATATTTTGTAAAAAAAAAACAAATAAATATGGTCGATGTGTCGCTCAGTTTCGTGGCTCGGTGGCCTAAAAGTTGAGCGCTCGCGCGTGAGACTTGTAGGGCATGGGTTCGAATCACGCGGGGGTCGGGGTCGTGGTTGCTCACTGTTGAGGAGTTCTACAATAGGACGAAATGACCGTTCAGTGCTTTCAGGTATTCTATGGTGGTCTAGCTTTAATTGACTCATGATCTCAACCATTGAAAATTTTTTTTGTTTCAAAATTGACTCAGATTTTCAATGCTTCAATGTATAAGATACTATGAATTTCATTCACAAATACTTTGTCGTAAAATGATCAGTATACCTGTTATTTTAGATTAATCAATTAATTAAATTATTCTTTCGTACGATCAGCAATGATAGATTGTGTAAGAAGATTAGTCTTGTAATATGATAGTTGGGATGTTTTAGATTTGTGATTTCTATCCTTACTTACTTACTTACGCCTGTTACTCCTCGTGAAGGAGCATAGGCCGCTCACTAGCATTCTCCATCCAACCCTGTCCTGGGCAATCCTTTCTAGCTCCGTCCAGTTGTAATTCATCGTTTTCATATCTGCTTCTATTATCCGACGCAATGTGTTCTTTGGCCTTCCTCTTTTCCGCTTCCCTTCAGGATTCCAAGTTAGGGCTTGCCTCGTGATGCAGTTTGACGATTTGCGTAATGTATGTCCTATCCATTTCCATCGTCTTTTCCTAATTTCTTCTTCAGCTGGAAGTTGGTTTGTTCTCTCCCACAGAAGGCTATTGCTGATGGTATCCGGCCAATGGACGTTGAGTACCTTGCGTAGACAGCTATTTATAAATACTTGTACTTTCTTTATTGTGGTTGTTGTAGTTCTCCAAGTTTCAGCTCCATATAGTAGAACTGCCTTGACGTTCGTACTGAAGATTCTGACTTCGATATTGGTTGAAAGTTGTTTTGAGTTCCATATGTTCTTCAATTGTAGGAATGCGACCCTTGCTTTACCCTCGCCTTTACGCCTGCATCTGAACCTCCTTGTTCATCGATGATTCTTCATAGGTATGTGAAGGACTCTACATCTTCCAGAGTTTCGCCATCAAGAGTGATTGGATTGCTGCTTTCCGCTTTGAATTTGAAGACCTTGGTTTTCCCTTTGTGTATGCTGAGGCCTACTGATCGATTTCTATCCATTTATTATTTATTATTATTATTATTATTATTGGCTTTATTCAATAGTTTTGTTACAATATAGAATTCTCAGCGCAAAGTATTTCAACAAGTTTCCTTTTCTTACTTCATGGTCGATCTTGACGATAAATATTGAGTGATTGCCAGTTAGACGTTAACAGTACAAGAATCGACATCTGAATAATATACATTCATTTCGATGTATATTGCCAGAAATCACAATGTCTCTGATTATTCTCTTTCCTAACTTATACAGTGAAAAGTGAATTTTCACAAACTCTTCTAAATAGGTATTCAATTATAACAATTACAACCCAGAAATACACATGAAGAGTTATATGCCAATGGAATTCAAATAAATACATTGTAATGCCCTAGCTATGCATCAACGTTTAAGAAACTCATCTTGTATCTATCTTTCGTATATGTAATTGCTCCAACGAGTTAATTAAAGTATTTTTTCCGAATCTACCAAAAATCGCAAAACTAACCTCAGAAATAGGAAAACAGATAATCTTACTTAATATTTCAGGACCCAACTCATTAACTTCAAAACCTTCTGGAGTCAATTTTGTTTATAAATTTTAAACTTGACTAAAAGACACAACACTAAAGGAAGACAAATGTAAAATAGCCTACAAAAAAAACTTAGGTGAACTATGGTAAACTTTACATTAGACAAAGTAGATGACTTGTTTATTTACGCATATACGAATAAAATATATTGGTGAAACAACACGATATGTTATCACCTATGGCAACTGATGTAAATGACTATAGACATAAATTCAATTGAGAAGACGTCAAAATCCTGCAACTAGACTATACAATACCTGGATCATTTAGCAATCAGTATGTACGTCAATTAGATTCAAATTGTTAAGTTCGTTAAGCTTGAATGATACTACTGATTCGGCATATTCCGAACGGAACGAAGGATCAATGATTCAGAGACTCGATAGGCTATTCTGGTCCGTTGTCCCTGACTCAGCTAACTTGATCAAGAAGTCTTGGTAAAACGTAGAAGTGTATTCTACAGACAAACAGCAGATACCAAGTCAGGTCAATCAGGCACATAAGACAAGCGTATGTATATCAATATTTATAATCGATATTGTTATGGTAAAATGTTTTTAAACATTAATGAATAAGTTCATCAATCGACAGCCATTCAAATATTTAATCGATAAGTTCGTCATTTGACTGCTATTTAAAGATTTAATCGATAAGTTCGTCAATTGACTGCCATCCAAATATTTAAACATTTAATCGATAAGTTAATCGATAAGATAAAATCACAAAATATGAGTTTTGGGGACCTATCGTCCCCAACACAAACCATTCGAAAAGATCAGTCAAAATGATAGTCACTGACAAGTGGAACAGGGTAATCCACTTTGTTAAAAAAACAAACAATCGAAGGTAAGCTAAACTATGATGATAACCGGCCACGAAATACATCATTACAACAAACTAACTTGATATTTCTGAGACAACTAAGAAATTTACTTTTACATCAGTTAATTAATGATAGTATTGTTTAGAATAACAGTGAAAACTCATTAATTAAGTCATTAAAACTAATGAACTGAACAATATCAATAGCATATACCTGAATTACAAATCATCATCTACATCTTCTCATTTCAATAGTTGAAATCATTAGTCAATTGAAACTAGATCACCATAAAAAACCTGAAAGTACTGGATGGCTAATTCGTCCTAATATGGGACTCTTCAGCATTTGAAAGGTTTATGTTACTATATAAATCTAAAAACCAAAAGTTGTTTTCACTTGGTATTGTTTGGCTTGTATCTTTCCATTGAGGTTTAAGACTGCAATGAATCAGTCTGTTATTGGCATATGTGCATACTGTGCGTAAGCCTCGATATTACCTTAATTCACAAGCTATTTGTAAGCAATGATGGATAGTGGCTAGCAGACTGATCAGTTGCAGTCTTAAACCTCAATGAGAAGATACAAGTCAAACAATACCAAGTGAATTCAAATTTACCCCATTGCACAAGTAAGTGGCTATCAGGACTCAGTAGATGAGTGGATAACGCGATGGTGTTTGAAGCGAATGGTACTGAGTTCGAGTCCCAGGGTGAACATCAACTCTCTGAGATGCAGGTACATCCAGCTAACGAGTCCCAAATAGAACGAAACGCGCGTCCATGCATCCCACTGCTAGCCACTATCCAGCATTGCTTACAAAAGTTGTTTTTTTTCATTTTTCATTTGTAAAATTCACCTTTTTTTCCCTTTTTATCTATTTTCAATTTATTTCATTAGGAATATATAACGATTCAATGCACTTGGTGTAAAATAGGTTATCATAATAAATCAACTTGTTTTCGTGAATCATATTTCACTGAACCATGTTCATTAGGACCATATTCATGTTTAATTGTTCCACCTGATTGGATTATTAAATTAACTGAAAGAGTAAGTTTTTATTTTATATGTATATTCATTAGTTACATGCTAGAAACAATATTATCAATTGGTTACAATAAAAATCCATGTTTTTTGATGGAGTTTTGGTCTCTGAGCTAGAGAGAACAAAACTCCATCAAAATCATCCATCTGAGCTACAAATCTTCACCATCTCAAAACTCTATGTTCTATAACATGTGAAAATATGAAAACTGAAATTAATATGTCAATAGTATTTGTTTAGTAGAGGAGAACACAATTGAAGACAATCGAATGTCTTTTTTTGAATAGTTGAGATTGTAAGTGAATTGAAGCTAGACCATTATGAGAACTTGACGCATGAATAAGTATAATGATAAATAAATCATGGGAATGAAAAATACATAGTCTTTAGTTTCAGCCTTCAGTAATAAGGATGGAGGTCTATCGACCTATTTAATCCTTGCATTTGTAATACTGTGTGTCCTCTTTCGTTTTGAATATATGAACAAAGGTCTGATATTACGTGTTCCGGTAGAGAATTCCAGTAATTTACTACTCGGTATGAAAATCGAAACTCCGGACGTAAACGATTTGATTTCGTTTTTGAACTTTCTTCGAATGTCCTCTCAAATGATCAGTCCTAGACGGAAGTAAAAGATAAGACATATTATATTAAGGTCATCCTTCAGTATACGATAAGCCAATATTAGGTCACCCCGTATTCTACGGTAAGATAACGGAAATAATTGAGGTGTCTCAGTCTATCTTCATAAGATAGGCCAGATGGACCTTTTACCATCTTAGTACCTCGTCGCGTTGGACTCTTTCCAGAATATCTGCTTCATACTTAAAACAAAGACTTGCTGCTTGAATCCCATATTCTAAATGTGGTAGCACATGAATCGGGTATAATAATTTGAACATCCCACCATCTAAATACTGAAAAGACCTAGGAATAGACCATAATACCCTATAGCCTTACGCAGCAGCCTAACAGTGACTGGTGGTTTTGAGATCATTGCTTAATATGACTCCTAAATCTTTATAGTTTCTTACTTTAGGTAGCACGAATCCACACATTGTATAGTGATACGATTTATCATGGTTATTTAACTGCATCACCACACTATTATTAGAATTTACTTCTAAATTTTTATGTCATCAGCGATGGGTAGAACGCATGATTTTGCTACAGTTGGTGATTCATTTACATAAAGTAAAAAGAGGAGAGGACCGAGGATTGTACCTTGGGGAACTCCACTTTTTACAGGTACCCACGAGGAGAGAGATCCATTAACCCTTACCCTTTGTCTCCTGTCATGGCGAAAGTTACTTATCCAATCTACTACTGCATAATGGATTCCAAAACGTTTCAATTTGAATGTGAGACCAGAGTGGAAGACTTTATCGAAGGCCTTACTTAGATATATGACGATTGCATCTACAGGAATATTCCAATCTTTTGCCGCAGCCCAATTTTCTCTTGCAATGAGAAGATTTGTCAAGCATGATAGGCCTCTCCGAAAACCATGTTGTTCCCTGGAAAAAAAGATTATGTCCTTCAACATAGTTTATGACAGATACTCGAATGATTTTTTCCATCAGTTTTACAACCGCACTAGTTAAGCTAACGGGTCTATAGTTACTAACTAAATCTCTACTCCCAGCCTTATACACCGGACTTATTATCGCGTCTTTCCAGTCTCTGGGCAATCTGAACTGTCTCAGATTTTTTTCTAGTTACTGGAGATAATAACTAACTCTAACAATATCAATGGTAGTTATGATAGCAGTACATGTTTCATAAAACGCACTTCAATTAATGAGATGTGAAGTAACACACTAATAGTTTCTTACCTTATAACTTACCTGTTCAACTGTACGATTCTCATGGTTGACTTGTTTGTTCAATCAATTAGTCTACACCTATTAGCATGGCTCAATCAAATTGTCAATGACTTCATGAACTGATTCCATGTTTTTGGTTTTGACCACCATTAGTTTTCTTTCAGCTTACTCCTACTCCTACACTAGATGACATTACCAATCGAAGTAAGCTAGGTTATATAGAAGCAATTAAAATTAAATTAATTTATGAGAAATAAACAGCTACCTTTTATTTTTATTGATATACGTTCATGGTCATTGCCTTTGGTAATTTACTTTCATATAAAAAATAACTCTAAGACTAATTATAATGTTTATTATCAGAATGAGTTTTGTGGAGTTTTTTAGAAATTTCACTGGTTGAAATCATGAGTCGATTGAAGTTAGATCACCAAGGAAAACCTGGAAGCACTGGACGGCCGTTTCGTCCTAGTATGGGACTCCTCAGCAGCGTGCATCCACAACCCTGTCTCCCGCGAGATTCGAACCCAGGACCTATCAGTCTCGCGCCAGGCACTTAACCAACTAGAACAGTGAGCCGGCATCCAACGGTGTTAGCGTCTAACTTCAACCAATCCACGAAGACGCGCCGCCGTGGATGCGCACTGCTGAGGAGTCCCATACTAGGACGAAACGGCTGTCCAGTGCTTCCAGGTTTTCCATGTTGGTCTAACTTCAATTGACTCATGAGTTCAACTGGTGAGATAACGTTTATTTTTCCAAACTCATATGATTTATCAATTCGGCAAATTAGTACTTGACTTCTCACTTATTTTGTCTTTGATTCTATTTTTTTGTTGTTGATAAACCATATCTACAAAAGTAACCTGTTTTACCTTAAAAAGTATTAAGATAAAATACAGTTATTCTCTGTACATGTACATTTTGGTAGTGTACACGTATTGATTACAAAAAAATTGATAGTTAGTTCTGGTATTCATATATGTCGTATTGATGAATTATCATTTTAAAACAGAGATAATGTTATGGTATGTGCTACTGATCTCAACAGATATAAGTAGTATATATCATCGATCGAAAGTAAAATGCTTGACGGAAGAAAGTTAAAAAGATTGAAAAAGAGAGAAAGAGAACAGAGAATGATTGGTGTATAAACGAAAGAAAAATGGAGTCTGAAACAATGGAATAACATTTTTGCATATGAAATATTTACTGAATAGTTCTCAGATTTTACTTAGACGTTCTATAATTTTGTATCCAAATCCATCCGATTGTCCCCACGTGTTTTCTCGTTTAGTACAATTTGAACGAAGAATTTATGAGATATCAATGATAAGCTTAGACTTGATAGTTTCCAATAAATTGAACATTGTATAAAAAGTTAATTATTTATTTACACTGAAGAAGTGATTTACACTAAATCACGAAACATCAGAAATACAATTTTTCTACTCATTGAGATATAACATAAACTATATTTATTATAAACGAATTATATTTATTCCAATTGATGCTCAACAGGTTCTTGTAATTTATAAAAGAATATAATTAATAATCTGAATGAGAATAGTTACATGGAAGATGCATAGATTGTTGAAAATCATAGCATGAATATTTGCAATTGTTTGTAAAATACAAATATAAATAGATCCTGGGCTCGAATCCCACGAAGTGGGGTTAAGGATACGCACTGTTGAGGAATCCCACAATAGGACGAAACGGCCGTCCAGTGTTTCTAGATTTTCCGTGATGATCCAGCTTCAATTGACTCATGATCTCAACTATTGAAACATATTAGCATTGAAATGGTTAAGTTTAATTGTTCAATGAAATTGTGCAATGAATCATCGAAATAAATATCAATAATATTGGGTGAGGGAAATGTAACGATGTCATTATATATCATATCACAGATTTTATATGATTCTATTACTGAAGATGATTTCACTCATTTTTCTCACCTAAATATCCACTACTTATGTTACGAGCGAGAAATTAATTCATTGTACCTTAATACAGAATTATATAATCCGTTAGTAAAATATGAGAAGTGTACTTTGAATGTTTCATTTACAAATTACCATCATTTGTCATTCACATTTTGTATGATTCTTCTAATTTACAATTCCTTTCTAATTTCGTTTCTATCTTTATTCAAATCAACCTTCATAGTTTTTTGCCGTTAAGTTTTCACTTCCAATTCGTATTGTATACTACTTATATCTATCAATATAAGTAGCATATAAAACATTTGTATTAAATCGTTAATTATTACTTTTTCTTGTCATAGAAACAGTATATAATTTGTAGTATTTTTTTATAATGGACTAAAAATATCAGCTAATCAATAAAAATGACTTTTAAATGAATATAATTAGATACGATTACATGATGAACAAGCTAAAATTACAATAGTTGAAATCATGAGTCAATTGAAACTAGACCACCATTGAGAACCTGAAAGCACTGGATGGCCATTTCGTCCTATTGTAGGACTCCTCAGCAGTGCGCATCCATGATCTCGCTAATAAGTTTCATGTTGTTTCTTTTTTTTTTAAATATCTAAAAAAAACGATCGATATTATTTCGCATATTTTAACTGCGACTATCATAGTTTTCTTTATTATGTAACTAACTTTTAACAGGCAAATGATACTAGTGAATGTATTAAAATTGATTTCTACAGTTTAATGAAACTCATACAGAACTGAACATTATTGATTTTAATTTTTGTTTCTTTTTTACAAAAAAAATTATCAAGAAACAATAAACTATTCAAGAAATATTGTGATTAATCAATATTTTTTAGTAAACACTTAGAAAGGGTGAATTTATTTGCAACGTTTCCATGTAAACCTAATGTATCGTCCAGTGTAATAACGGTCATGTCTGCATTCATGTAATCATAGAACTTGTTATTTCATAATGTATTTTTTATTAAATAACCAGACAGTTAGAGTCCCATGCGACAGCAACACCTATTTTAGCTAAACAAAAAGAGAAACTAACTTTGGTTCTCCATATCTGAAAAAAATACTCAAAGGAAAACAGATTAACATTTTATAATATAAGACTAGCCAGTTTCCTTGATGAAGTACATCGACTTCAGTAGCAGCAGCAAAAACCCAGAAAACAAGGTTGAATCTAAGAAAATTTGCGCCAACATTTAGAATATTACAATAACTGCGGCGTTTTAGCACACTGAAACACTAAATTAAACAGCTACACAAAAGAAATAGCTGAAAAAAAAACACAGAATGAGGAAAGCCGACCGCTATTGCTTACAAAGATGACGGATGTAATAATTCCCGCCTCATTCTGATTGGTCGCTAAGCAGACAGACACATTTACGAGATCGAGTTGCGTTTAATTGCAGCCCTTAGAAATCGATTTATGATATTCTATAAATATAATTAGATAACTATGAGTTGTGACTTGGGGAGTACAATCCGTATTGAGTATAAGATAGTTATTTACCTCAGACAATGAATGAAGAGTTGAGCAAGATCATGAATCGAATGAAGTTAAATGATAACAACGTTGGATACTGATTCAGTGGTTTGAAAGTTAAGCATTCGCGCACGAAACAGAAGGACCTGGGGATGGGTTGCTGACCGGATACCTAAAACACCTCCTTTACCAAGGCGTGGAAACGCTAGTAACCCTAGTAGAGCTTGTACTGTCTAGTTCTATGTTAGGTCCCATATAGGTTATTCTAGTTTCTGGACACATTTTCCCAAAACTACATTGTGACCTTGTCACGTATTCGCTTATTAATCTTGAATGTTTTTATATAAATACTACTTGTCCTATTCATCACGTGTTTAACTTATTTTTGTTTGACTACAAATATTGAGTCACGCTTGATTAAATTGAGTTGGCTCACATGCCTTTTTCAATCCGTTTCGCTTCTTTCTCTCGTTTTCGTTTCTGTGATTGCCTGTTGAGATCAGTGTTTGTACAAAACATACGTACCTATTTAATTTTTGTTATTCAATAATGTGATTTAAGTTGATGAAAATAGACGAGAATTGGTGTCATGTATAGTTCGATAATAATCAGGTTACGATGTAACTTGAACCAGATACTAGGCCGCTAAAAGCTATAAACGGAATTTGTACTATTTAAACTTGTATTCATTTAATTCATTTATTTTTATTTATCCTATGAAGAAGCGGTTTACACTAAGACAAGGAACATCATAAATTTAATTTTCGAACCCATAAGAATATTGGTAATATATCTAAACTGATTAAGTTGTTGTTTAATTAGCAGATAGAATTTAAGGATTATCTTCTTATTTACTAGATTTCATTATGAAAGTGATTACGACATTTATGATCATCATTGCTCAAACGTTTTTTTCTTAAAAATTAGACCTAATAGCTTCAGTTTTAACAGTTGACTAGGTATCTAAATCATTCAATTTATCCCGTAAGCGGGATAGTGAAGGTGCACTGATTAGGAGTCCTATAATAGGACGAAACGGCCGTCCAATGCTTCCAGGTATTCAATGATGATCGAACATCAATTAATTCATCATCTTAATCAAAAACTTACTAATCTCCACAACCCTATACTGATAATAAATACATTAAATGACATACACATTTATTTATAAGTTATGATATCATGACTTTATTTTGAATATTACATTGAGAAAGTTGTCTATAACATAGATAACTGACTAATATTGTATTTAGCTGAGATGATAGATAACGTATCTTGGAATTCTGCAATGAGTGTCAGTTCATTCATGACATTGATGAGTGTATATTGATACAAAGTTTAGATCAATTACTGTTCATCATTTATCAATAACCACCAAATCGAATCAATCCACAAATTAGTTTTTTTTTCTGTTAATGAATACAAATAATGAGGTCCATTGTTTACGTCGTTTAAGCGATGTTCTAAGGAGTATTTTCAATGGTGAAATGAATATAAACTTCCTTAAATAACTTAGTTATCACTTCTGTATAATGCCTTGTTAAATATCATTTCAGCCATTTAACAAACATATATTCGTATAGAATAGAGAGCTTATAGAATTTTCGGTGAGACTATAATGTATGGACGACCTTTTAACGACACTGGAATGACCTATATAGAGTCAGTTTAATAATTAGGACCAAATGAGGGTTATGAACCTGTGTGACGACCTTGAATTATGATGTTTAAGGTTAGAAGTTAGACTTGGCGTTTTCATCACGAAATAACATCAGCTATAATATCAAAACTCTTTCATCCAAATGGATGAGTGAATTTCGCGCCAAAATCCGAGAGCTTTTATCTTATACCTGATTGGTTAATCCATACATTATAGTCTTACAGAATTTTCATAGCTAAAATCTTGAACTAATCATAACTAATCGTAATACAGTATAAATTCATCAAGAGGCATTTCCTGGAGTTTTAGTGAGAAGCAGTGACCAGTGGAGTTCAACCAGATCTGTTGTGAGATATCAACTCATTGAAGACGATGGTGTACGGCTGTGCAATTTAGTGGATTGGTTGTAATTAGACATTAACACCATTGGATGCCAGCCGGCTCAGTGGTCTAATGGTTAAGCGCTCCCACGTGAGACTGATTGATCCAGGATTTGAGTGTCACGGGAGGGCGGGATCATGGATGCGCACTGTGAAGGAGGAGTCCTATACTAGGACAAAACAGCCATCTAGTACTTCCAGGTTTTCCATGGTGATCTAACTTCAAATGACTCATGATTTCCACTATTGACATGATTTTATATTCCTATATTTTCTTTATTATTTCTTATCATCACTATAATCTTAATTATTTATATTCATTTTCAAGAATAATCACAAATTATCCTCCTCTCCATCATCATCAACATCAACACCATTAACATCTACATCAATATATCGATCAAATAGTTTTGTTACACCTTCATGTTTAACAAATTATAAATTAAATTCATCACCATTACGTTCTTCATATTCTCGTCCAGATAATCTTAATGATTCAAATCAATTAATTCAGAATATATCAGAACAATTAACTTCCATGACATCTATAATAACAAATGATGATAATGATGATAATAAACAATCTATTTCAATGAGTCAATCCAATATGATTGATATTCAATCGAATCTATCATTTGTGATTAAAACAAATCCAATTAATAATGTTTCTTTAAACCCATTATTAGTATTTCTTAATCCAAAATCTGGTGGTAATCAAGGTATAAATTTATTAAAAAAATTTCAATGGTTATTAAATCCACGTCAAGTATTTGATTTATCTAAAGGTGGACCAAAAATGGGGTAAATTCATTAATAATGAATCAATAAATTTGGGATTACCTTCTCTTTTTTTTTGTATTGGAAACAAAGAAACAATTTCTAACATTCATTTCTTATTAATTCACTTGATATTGTTTTTACTTGAATCTTCCTATTGATGATTAAGATTGTAATTGTGAATTAAAGCAATAAGTATAATATGCACATATATACTAATAAGAGATTGATCAATTGCAGTGTTAATCATTGATGGGAAGATTCAAACAAACAAATAAACAATATCAAGTGAATTAAAACTTTACATGATTGCACAATCAATTGCCTATCAGGATTCAGTAGCTAAGTGGATAATGTAATGGTGTTTGAAGCGAACCGTACTTGGTTCAAATCCTAGAGTGAATATCAACTCTGAGATACCAGGTATATCTAGCTGATGAGTCCCAAATAGGACGAAACTCATATCCTGGTTTCCACTGCTAGCTACCACTATCCATCTTCGATTATAATGCTTGTGAATTATCTTTCTTATAGTTAGTTCATATTTCTTTAATGAAGTTCATTAAAACAAATAAATTTTCTAATGTATTGGCAAGTAATGCTTACATATGCTAGAAAGGGATATTAATTTGTGCATATATATATATATATGTGCATGATCTGCCATCTTCTACAAAAAACACTTTTGTGATATATGCGAATGATCTCATTGTATATATGCCGATTCATACCTCTTTATATCACATAGAAATGAATAAGTTTTTGTTAAGCGCTAGCGTGCGAGGCAGTTAGGTCCTGAATTTGAATCCCACCGGGGACAGGATCGTGGATGCGTAATTATGAGCAGTCCCATAATAGGACGTAACGGCTGTCCAGTGCTTCCAGGTTTTTCATGGTGATCTAGCTTCATTTGAATCATGATTTCAACTATTGATATTATTTCTGTTTAATTCATTAAATCTATCATTATTTCATTTCATTTTTTTATAGTTTAGAATTGTTCAGTCGTGTACCGAATCTACGTATCCTAGTATGTGGTGGTGATGGTACAGTTGGTTGGATATTTTCTACTATTGATTCAATGAATTTTAATACAATACCACCAGTTGCTGTATTACCAATAGGTACTGGAAATGATTTAGCTAGAGCATTAAATTGGGGTTCAGTAAGTTATCATTAGAAAATTCGATAGATTAATGTCTATTCACTGTTCTCATATTCATTTTAATTATCTCTCATTATTACTAAGTTACTATAGTAAAATCTAATTAAATCTGATGACATAGTTTAAAGTAACTAACAAATTTATCATATAAGATAAAATGATTTTGTTTTCAATAATGATGAACGAATTGAAAAAAAACTTTGTTTTCATTTTGATTATGTTGTGTTTCTATGCCTTGTTAATTCTCACATGGCAAGATAGACAATCAGAACACTAACTTGTATGACCTTGTTACTGTTAACTTGTACAAGTAGCCTAGAGTCAACTCTGAGTACTCAATGATTTTTCTTGTTTAACCCTGTTCGTTTGAGTACAGATTACACAGTTGAGGTTGCGAATCTTCATCGACTGAGATGGTTGAGCCACGTTTTACGTATACCTGAACACTGATTGCCACGACAAGCAATGCTGTTTAATGTTAGGGAAGGGGTGGCCAAATCAGCCAAAACGTGGAATCAGCCCTTGAAGTCACTGAATTGTAGTCTGAGCCATGTTGGTAGATGCAGACTACTTGGTTGGGGTCCGCATGACGATCGTAACCAATGGTTGGAGACTGTGGGTGACATGGCTCAGAAACAGTCACAGTGGTGTAGTTGTGTACACTCTTTGTCTTCCCTTAAACTATGAGATTAAAATCGATTCATATCTTTGTTTCTACGTACTAATTCTTTTTTCCTATACTATATCCTAATGTGAAATCTTTCTTCTATATATTACCACCTTTGAATTAACTACTTCTATGAATTTTTTGTTGATCTTGTTGTGGTAATGAGGTATGGCAGCTTGAACCGATGCATATAAGTGCTTAGTCCAACGTTGTAGCTGACTAACTGACATAATACACACCTCAGCTTTCACCGAATGAATCTTACATTTCAGACATATTTAGTTTATATACAAACAAACCGGACTACATCATACCATAAATAGAAAATAACAATTATACAAGATCAAGCTAAAAGTGGCTGTGGATTTGAAAGATTATAACTAATAGTTTAGAACAACTTCAGAATATTTCATTTTATAGTAGTAGTCAATAGATCACGTAGAAGTCTATAATAAAAAGAATATGAATATACATATAATATAGTTACTTCATAGTTATACAATAAGCCTATATATACAATAACGGTCCATAAATAGATTCTAGTACTAACCATTCCTTTATTCTTCATCCGGATATAACAGATTAGTACATAAATTTCAGTTGTTGTTATTCACGTGATACTTTGTATGATTAAAAACAAATGAAATGTAATTTATCAAAAAAATCATCTAACTGAACTATACATAATCAACATACAAAAAATAACTATTTTTATCCTTTAAAGTATTTCTTCCCACTTCAGTTGTCACTTTATTATTGTTTTCTTTCTTTAGGGAAATAGATTTATAGTAAGAATAAAGAGTAGTGTGTAACAAAAATAAAAACCAAAAATTTTATTTGTTGATTGAGATCATGAACCGATTGATATTAGACCATTATTGAAAGCCTGAAAGTACTGGACGACCGTTTCATCCTATTGTGGGACTGCTCAGTAGTGCGCATCCATGATCCCGCTTCGCGGGATTCAAACCCGGGGCCTTCCGTCTTGCGTGGTAACGCTTAACCTTTAGACCATTGAGCCGGCTGGCATCCATCGGTGTTAATGTCTGACCTCAATCAATCCACGAAATTGCGCGACCATCTCCCATTGTACTGAAGTAGATATCTGTCTCTACAGGACACGGATTAGCTCCACTGGTCACGACTTCTTACTAGAACTCCGAGAATTTTCTCACGAAGTTAGTCGCTAGTGAGGACATGGTAATTATCAGTATGAGTTTATGGAGATTATTAAGCTTTTGGTTGAGATCATGAACCAGTTGATGTTAGACCACCAAAAGTTTTACTCTGAAATAAAACATCACATAAGATATTATATGTGCAGATTATATTTCAAATAATCTCCGGGTACCCTAAACAAATTCAGATAGGTTTGCTGGACGAAACATTGGAATAATTTTAAATTTTAATCACTGAGATTATCTCAAATATAATTTTCACATATAATGACTTCTCAATACTCAGAATCCATGTTCTATCAAACTATTCGTCCTAATTACATAAGATAATAAGTTTAATTCCTACGAAAATTCTCTTGCTTTTTCTGTGTTCACTTAGCTACATCTTTGACAAGAGCTAGTTGAATGATGTTTAATAATTTGGTTATATGATTATGTAAGGATATATATATATATATATATATACATATATACATTGCTGTCACGCTGTCACAAGTAACTCTCAGTTACCTTTAAAAGAAATTTAAAAAAATGGGTTCGAATCTCGCGAGGTGGGATCGTGGGTGCACACTGCTGAGGAGTTCCACAATAGGACGAAACCGCTGTCTAGTGCTTCTAGGTTTTCCATGGTAGTCTAGCTTCAAGTGACTCATGATCTTAACCATTGAAAAATATAAGTCTTCGGTTTGACAGTAACAATTATTTTACATAGTGAATACCAAACGATTATAAAGATAACAAATTGAAAAGGTAGTTTACAAATAGTTTATGGCATTTTTAACAACGTTTAAGTAACTATATTGATAGATATGTAAAGATATTGATATATTTAAATAGATTGAAGTTATCAATAACTAAATGGTTGTTATATCTTTGAAAGATAAATTATAATGTCTGTCAATTGTTTGTTAGTTATACGTTACCCTTTACTAATCTGATAGATTTATAGTCTTGATAATAATGATAAGGGAAGAATTAAACCGTTTCAATGGAATACTCATTACAAATAGATATGTCAATAATAGTATAAAGCTCAGGTCTACAAATATATGAATAATCATAATACTAATGTAATTGGTTTACATGAACATTTATTTCAAATATGAATGATCTGTGGTTATTATAATATTGATGAGAAGGATTTCAAACACGTTCAAAATAACACTCTTCAACTAAGTATTTATGTTGACATATTTTAGTTGACAAGCATTTAGCTGTCTCGTCTCGTCAGTTCATCTACCGCTGTCAAGCTATGTATACGAATTATTTGGTGTATTCTCTATCCTAGGAAATTAAAGAGCATAAAATAGCATTATTAATAGTCAGCGAAAGTGGATGTATAAGTAATTACATAACTGAACAATCTGTAAACTAAAATCATTCGATCAAGAGAGAATCATCATTTCAAGTTGTACTCATGGAAAACAGAAACCTACCGAATAGTGGTGGGCTTCCTTCTTTTCTACATTGTTGAAGATAACTTATATATATATATATATATATATATATATTCCCTTAAAACTAAAACTAATCACTATTTCTTACAGGGTTATATTGATGAATCTGTATCGAAAATATTAAACTCCGTTTACGAAGGTCGTGTTATTGCGTTAGACAGGTAAGTATCAGTTAAGTTCTTTTCCTTATTATGAATAGTTTTACAGTACTAGTTAATGCATGTATTTTTTTGTTGGGGAAATGAATTTACTACTAATATATTTCATTAGTACTTTTTAATTAAGAAATTCAGGTGTACATACTGTTTATCTTCCCTTAAACCATGAGATTAAAATTACTTTATATCTTTCTTATGACTTACCAATTTTTATATGTGATCATACCATTGCAGTAACTGCTTCTATGAAGCGGATTGCAATCCAACATGATTTATTAATTCTCTCAAGATTAAGGATACACTTTGACAATGAGTACCGACTTGTGTGAGATCTAGTTACAGGGTTTCATGTCGTTTACCTCTACTGATTCCCCTGAAATTATTAATCTTTTTTTAATTTCACGCTCTTTTTCTTCTGTTACATGAAGAATCCAGCATAAGCTTATAGAGAAAAAGGAACTATATCTATAATATGCAAATACAATTTTAACTATAATATAGTATATTAATGTTGCTATGGTAAGTATGACGTTCTCTGTATATTCGTTTAAAGATCCCCGTCATATTAAAAGACTAGTATTTGAACGAAGAATATTCTTTTCGATAAATTCTCATCAGGTTCTACAATTATATATTCAAATTAATAATCCGAAAAAATAGCCAGGTTAAGGGTAAAGTACATCGTTTAGAGCATGTGAATTTAGGATTGTGGTAAACAAAATACAATAAAATTGTTAATGTTAATACGACTCATATAGAATGAGCACTGCGATTAGTATTTTCTACGCGCCCAATGGTTACACCGAAGCTAAAAGATGAATTACCTAGAATGACCACCTCAGTTTGTATTTATCAGTTCAACTGCTCCTGTGGAGCTAGTTATATTGGTCGAAGTTCTAGGAATTTACATCTTCGTGCTCGTGAACGCCTTCCAGTGTGGTTAAACAAAGGTTTGATGAAGAAGGTGAGCAGCTCAATATTGACCCATTTAGTACAAACCGGTCATAGTGCCAGTATAAACCAATCTTTTTCAATTATTTATAAGGTAAGTAATTTTTTACCAAAACTGGTCAGACTGAAGTCCTTCAAACGGCTGAAGCAGTAGCCATCCGGATGAAGAAACCGGAGCTATGCGTACAGAAGAAATATATTCAACCACTCCTCCTTCCCTGGCCAACATCAAGGCCAATTAATCAATCGTAATCTTAACTATTGAATGACCTAATTTGACTATGACCTTTCGTAGTCAATTGCAATTGTCCCTATTATCTTTATTCATAAATCTTTGTATTATTCGTATTATTACTCTTATTATTATTATTATTATTATTATTATTATTATTATTACTATTATTATTATTATTGGTTAAACATCATTAATCCCCCTATACATGATTCATTCACTTTGCATTCATCCCTTCGTATTACGTCCTACTTATTTGATCGAATTATAATTGCACTATTATTTCTCTCTCACCTTATTTGACCCATATTTATTCTGATCATGGATCTTACAATTTTACTTAACATATAAGCTGATTCAAGTGAACATTAACAATTTTATTGTGTTTTGTTTATCACAATCCTAAATTCACATGCTCTAAACGATGTACTTTGCCCTTAACTTGGCCATTTTTCGGATTATTAATTTGGATATATGAATTGTAGAACCTGAAGAGAATTTATCGAAAAGAATATTCTTCGTTCAAATACTAGTCTTCTCTGTATATCTTTTCATTTTACAAAACTTAAAATCATTTTAAAAAATAAAAACTATTTACTATAGATCAGGCACAATACTATTTATAAATCAAACGATTTCAGTAGAATGTATAACATAACATAAACTTTCTACATAATCTGGAATAGATATCAGATTAACACAAGTATAAAAGTAATTAAATACCAGTCTACCTAAAAAGAATTCTAATATAAACTCACTGATTCACTTGATATTGTTTTACTTGAATCTTCCCATTGATGTTTTTAAGACTGAAATTGATCAGTCTCTTATTGGCATATATGCATACTGTGCGTATGCCTCAATATTGCCTTAATTTACAAGCATTATAAGCAAAGATGGATAGTGGCTAGCAGTAGAATCCAGTTTGACGCGCGTTTCGTTATGAAATGAACTATTCAAATAAAAAACTCTATATTGAATTAAAGTTAACTCAATAAATGAAATTATAACTTTCACAAGTTAAAACGATACTATGATCAAACATCATAGCAACATTGATGTCATTGACTTTTATCATATAAACGCTTATTTTTTTAAAAAAAAACAAAATAAAACAACCTATTGAGAGTAGTTTATTCCACTGATAAATGGTCTATTACTTTCATATTGTTTACGTGTATTGTTTATACAATCAGTTTAAGTATACAATCCAATTAATTTGATATTCTACCCTTATTAAACTATCGTATACATTTTATCTAACGTTCTTTAGTACCGACTTTATTAAATTGTCTTCTTATTATAAAATAATACTTTTGATGTTGTAATTTGTGTTGTTGGTTAAACAATATAAAATTTATTAAATTTTATTTTTTCGAGGAGGGGAGGGGAGTGGAGTGGATGGGTGAGGTGGGCTAGGGTAGGGTAGGGTAGGTTAGGGTGATGTGGGGGAAAACAAGATCTTATCAGATAGACAAACAATTATAAATGTTCCCCCTTCCCAAAATGAACATAAATAAATAATTTAAAAAAAAATAATAATAAAAAAGATAAAATAATTCCCTTTTTGTTTGAAAGTACTTTATAGTTAGTTGGTGATTAGAAAAGTCGAGTAAAAAAGTAAATAAAATAATAATAATAATAATAATAATAATTTTTACTTTTGTGCTCATAGAATGAATTACATAATAATTATTAATGATTGTACGCAATCGGTTGAATTCATGCCTTTATTTTTTAATAAAAATCATACTCATAATACCGACAGAATAGGACATACTTATTGAACGTGAAAATGTATATAGAAAAATGAGGGTGGGAAAATCAATGATGTGAGAAATTCAATGAAATTTTTTTTATAAAAAAAAGTTTTTTTCTATTTTTTTAATTTTACGCATAAATAATTAAAAATCAGAAAGGATTTTGTGGATATTATAGTAATTTTTTTAATAGTTGAGATGATGATGTGGATTGAAGTTAGACAACTATGGAAAATTTCGGAGCACTAAATGGCTGTTTCCCCTTAGTATAGGACTCCTACTTGACAGTGCGCATTTATAATCTCGCCCTCCGCGAGATTTGAATCTAGGATTTATAAGTCTCGTGCGCGAGCACTTAACTATTAGACCAATGAGTCGGATGGCATCCAACAGATGTCTAACTTCAACCAATCCACGAAGTTGCACCACCGTACACCATTGTCTTCAGTGAGCTGATATCTCACAACAGACCTGGTTGAACTCCACTAGTCACTGCTTCTCATTAGAACTGCAAGAAATACATTTGAAGCACATGTTGATTAATATCAGTAGGGGATTTTTGTGGATATTATAGTAATTTCAATGGTTCAGATCATGAGTTAATTGAAACTAGACCATTATGGAAAACCTGGAAGTACTGGATAGCCGTTTCATCCCAGTGTTAGACTCCTCGGTAGTGTGTATCCACGATCCCGCCTAGAGAGACTCGAGCCCAGAAATCCCATAATAGGACGAAATGACCGACCAGTGCTTCTAGGTTTTCCATGATGGTCTAGCTTCAGTCGACTCAGTTGTTTTTTTCGACAACAGAAAAGAATTAAGTTTAGTGATTAAATGAATTGTAGAATGCGTCCTATGTTAATCGGATTCTATCTATAAAGTTACCATGTTACAACTACTTAACGCAATTCAATATTTTATAAATAAGATCGTCGAATTTATTTGATGGATCATTATTAGCAAGAATAAAGAGATCATGTAATTCTTATTAATCATTAGTAATGCGTAACAGTATTGTGATAACTTAGTATGAACGTTTTGGATTTAATTCTGATTGGTGTAAGATTTAACGTTGCTAGTAATATTATTTGCTTGTTAGTTGCCAGAATTTTTTGCTGATGATTGTCAATCAACATGAAGTCTAGTATTATGTTGATCAGCTTTTTGACAATAGATCATCAAAATGAAAGATGAAAGGCGATAATCTAAAACGTCTATATAATTTCAAAACATTAAGAAGCTCATATTAGCCTAAACATACATAATGATTAACTGATGAAAATATTTCCGCCTGTAATACCATAAAGTTACGCAGTGGGATATTTTATAAACTGTAGAATTTGAAACAGTTAGTGTTGAATTCCAACTCTTTGCCTGAATCATATTGAATGATATGTGAATAAAATAAAACTGTGCAGATATTAAGTATTGATTTCAGTTTATAACGATGCCTATCACTGAATCATACGGTTGTAGTTTTTTTTTCACTATTACTGCAGTGAATCAACATCAAGTTGGGGAAGACCAATTTGCTTTTCAATGCATAATCACACAGTGTTTTAGTAAGATATGGAAATCATACATCAAATATAACCTTTTCACATCTTTGAATTGTCTTTTACAAACTTTATTGTTCCTTCATTCTTGTTGTTATCATGATTGTTTTCACTTTCCTTCTCTATTCTCTTAATCTCAATCTTCTCAACATTCTGCTTGCAGACATCTCACTTCTGACTGATGTTACATGCTACCTGTATCTGCATACATAAGTAATATATATTGCACTACTACTACTATTAGTAGTAGTAAAAATTTCTTCCTTGTTTACATTTTGACCAATAATACGGGTCGATAGAAATATCTTAAAGCTGTTTCCTTTAATATTTGGAATGTGCTTTTGACAATTTTGTGAATTATGACCCGAAAGTTCTTTATCCATTCATTGTTCATATCACCAACAGTTTAATAAGAGTTCATCATCTTTGTTTTTCTCTGCATAAACTTTCTCTCTGTAGTAAATTTTTACTCCAACTATATTAGCTAATATATTTATTTGATAT